AGTATAATGTATGTTTTGCATGCTGCTGATATGCTGGTGACAAGAGGGAACAGTATTTGTTGTCTTTTGGGTGCTGGTATAATCCCAGCAAAGCCACAACAATATGTGTGTATGTGTTACATATCACATTTCTATATATATATACATATATATATATGTGTGTGTGTGTATTTAAATGTCATTAATTTTTTGTGTGTTAAATAATTTTCTAATATTAGAAGAATGCACATTTATTACATGTCTAATCACCTGCTCAGCAAATAAAATATTGCAAATAATGCTGACCTAAAGTAGACTAACCCAGAACAGGTTCACACCATGCAGGTGTTACAAATTAACTGAATTGATGACTATCTGTCATTTTCTACATGCTTAAAACAATTAACATTTGACATAAATGGACACTTTACGTACAAATGGTGACAAAAAAAACATGCACACTTAAAAATGACCAGTAAATTCTGCAGCAAAAAGTACATTATTTAGTGAGAATGGTTAAATAGAGCTTAAGCCTAGTATTGCCATTAAGACTTTGTCTGGACTTATGAAATATTTTCATTGTGACTGTGAATGAAAAGTCCCATAACTGAAACAGATGAATGTAAAACCCACTGAGTTGAACTATCTGCATCATCTTCTTCCAGACTTCAAACTTCAGGTTCCCCAAGTATTTTCCCACATTCATCAAGGCTCCAGCAGGCATCACTGGATCCTGCAGTGTGATCTGGGCTCTGTGATAACATTCAGGAGATAGAAAGATGGAGGAACTGCACTGCAGAGAGAAGACAGCAAGAAAACAGCTTACCTTTCTTTTGAGAACTTGAAGTTCTGCAAAACACAAAAGGAGGAAATAAGCTACATGTACACAAATGTTATTCAACCCTCGATCCCTCAATATTTCATTAAAAATACAGGTTATTTCTTACTTGTAGAAAGGGCATGTCGGCAGCGTCTAAATCATTTTTTAAGGTTCCAATATTGTTTGAAAGAGATTCGATCTCTCTGTCTATTTGTTCAATCTTCTCCTTCATCATCTGACTCTTCTGATTCTCGTCCTCTTTCAGTGCAGATATTCTGATCATCTCTTCATCTCGCAGAAACTGATGAAGCCGCTCAAACTCCTCCTGCAAGCATCTCACGGTCTGCTGAGTCTGAGCCTGTATAAAATACAAAGATTATCACATCCCTTCTACCTGAATCTTTCTGAAAATGCTTTAATCTAGAATATTTTACTGTATGTTCTCACCTTAATGTGGTGTGATGCATCATCAAATGTTTGTTTTATTTCTTTAAAGCTCTTGAGTTTTTCTTGTAAATCTTTCAATGAAGTCTTCAATTCCTCCTGAAATGTAATAACCAGTTGATGTTTGTTAAATCAGTGGAATGTCATTCATTGTAATTAGTGCTGTCAAACGATTAATTGCGATTAATCGCATCCAAA